CAAGTTATCGAATTTGCATTTTCGCGACAGTTTTTTGACAATAGTGGAGTTCTGCACCTAATCTCGGCATTCCTGAGTAAAGCCAATAATTCTGATCGTTTTTCGATGATCAAGTGCTCTTACCAAGAAGTACAAGGGATTTTACCCTATCTAGGTTACTTGGAACTCCTTTATCACCCTTTATTCTAACCCACCGGAGCTTCTGAGGCACGCCGTTATGTTTTGATAAGACCCCGCCTACTAGCGCGCAGACCACCCCAAGGAGATTGAGATCCCGCTTTTCAGGGATTTATCGCATTTAAATCGCTCGTATGAAGTCAATAATTATTTGTTCATGGATGGAAACAGGGATATCCGGAAAAACTCACGAAAATTTCGTTTCTTCTATAACACGAGTTTCGAATTATGCCAATTACAAATATTATTATTATTAGCTAACAACGTGTACAGAAGTTGATACGGTGCTCAGGAAATATGTTGCCAGGCTTTGTTAATCCAACATTATGCGCCCAAATCATTATATCATTAGATAAGCTGAGATAATCAACGCAACAAACATTGGTGTTCAACAAGCACTTGGTGTTCATTGGTCCCCTTCATGATGCGCCACGCATTCTGCCTCCATCCAGATCGTGGTACTGTGGTGTTCGAAGGAGTTCTCGCCCACAATATGAATTGCGAGGACAAAACGATCTACAAGTGATCTTATCCTCCCGGTCGATCATCTGGCTTCATATAATTACACATTCTGGAAGGATGGAAGGTTTGATGTGAGGCTGTAGAGGGCTTGATCAGAATTGACTCCTGGACCGTGTGCTTCGTAAGCGTGCCACCTTCCAGTACACCACCACTTTTAAATGATTACTTTGACGAATAAATCGGCAAAATACTTCTACATTACTGGATCTTGAACAATCTCAAAACGAATTCCTCTGGAAAATCCCTTTTATATTTTTACCTGATTTTTGACGTCCATCCTTAGCGATCTTCGCAAAACCAACGCCACCTGACACAACTGCCGACCGTACTCGTAGGTGCTCTGAAATACCTTTTCTTATTCAAAGCAGTAAACCATTCAAAATCTCCTCAAATTATATTGTTCAATAGACCAAACTTGGAAGAAAATTCATATTTTGAAATATGTGATTAAACGTAATTATACAGACGAAAAATAGCCCACCCTGGCCGTTTCTTCAAGTTTCATTCGATCCTCACGTAAATGGCGTAGATCGTCCTCAGCACCACCCATTTGATTATAGTCTTTCAGCAGGGTTTCATGCAATTCTTCGAGCCACTTTATTGCCTAAACATACTTTATCAAATCTGTGGGTGGGTGCGCAACCACAGAGGTAAAGTCACGCTCATAACTCGAAAGTGCACGGCAATAACGCCCCAATTCTACCATTCTTAGCTATCGCCGCCTAGCTTAAGCTATGACCGCCCGCCGCAGAGGTGAGATAGCATGGCATCGTCGCATGCTGTATAGCATTCATTCGAATTACATCTTACTGTCAAGCACGATCCATTCTGGAAGCAAGGCAGGCGCTATCGCTGGATAAGGCATCCTCTAGGTCCAAGTCCAGGAGGGAACTCCGATTTAGTGCAAAGAGCCCATGCACCCTGAAGTCTCTCCTGTCCTTTCTTAGGCTTAGCCCCGTTTTCAACAATGCGATAGCGCCGCAAAACATGATACAGGGAAGCTTGTCCGTGTCGTTAAGGAGAGAAGGCTTAATTTTTGGTTCTGCTAATTCCTTCCTTCCATTTTTTTCTCCACTGGAGTTACTATTCACATTGTCAGACCGGCTCCCGTCGGAGGTGAAGGCTTACTGGACAAACTCTTCAACCACGTCAATCCTCTATTGCGAAGGGCCTTATTGTTGTTCTGCTTGGACCTTTTTGGTACAAGCAGAGGTAGCGTAAAACCCACACCATAAGAGGAAAACACAAAACCCAGACACGTCTAGGATCTCCTTACCTGCTGAGCGTCATTCTCGCAGGTGAACAGCTGGGTGAACTGTTGCAACTTTCAAGCGACGAACGTCAACCAATTCAAGACATCTGAAAAACGAAATGGTCATACAAGAGATAGAAAAGTTTTTTTCTGCATCACGGATAATGGAGAACCCAAACACGAGCAGCACCCCTGTATAGTATTTTTGAGTTCTTCTACGCTATTATATACTCTAATTCCGTATAACTTATTTATGATTTATTCTACCTTTTCCTTCTTTCTCTGGCAGCCGAAAGCTGTTCGCGTACGTGAATAATTCCGGCCATATAGTCTCTTACGACACGTTTTCCATGCACGTTCATCTCTTCGGCAGAGAGGTCCTCGATGAACGATGAAGCACATGACGTCACACTCTCGTACGTTTTTTCTAGAAAAGCGTACTTTCAGACAAATCACATCAGCACTACTACATTTATCAACATATGGTGAGGAAAGAAGTCTTTGGAAACTGTTTTTCGTCCTCCTGTGAATGGCAGAGTTTACGATGGAAAAGCAGGCCATCAGAAATGAAAGTAGAGGTGGTTTGTGGTGATGAATAAGAAACCATGAGAAATGGCCCAGAACCCGAGAAATGGGACCCCTTCCTTGCCCGTTGATTTCCGCATTGATGCGACTTCATCGTGCTGCCCTCTTCAACGCTAACGCTCTCTCTGCTAAACGGCTAGGGTCAGACGGCGAGAGGGTGGGCAAGCAGCGTCATGGCGGGGGGGTATGGCCCTGCTAGGCCGCTGCCGCTATCGTTCAGTACGAAACGCCCATCGTGCCACGTTTTGACGGTCCGCCTGCCTAAGTATATTGCCCTTCTTAGAGCTTTCTTTCAAAAAATTGGATTTGGGAGGTTTAAGGTTAGAGGAGGTCTAGAAAGGATTCGACACAAAACAAAAAAAACAACAAAAACTCTTGGATGTAGCTGTTCAGAATTGACATAAGTTACTGCCTACTTATTCCTCTACAAGCAAATGGAGCAATACCTAATGACGCTCAGTAAAATCAATCTTTTAAGTGAAGTGCCATAAATTAACCGTTAAGCTATTCAATTCTTTCTTCCTTGAGGTGAATGCCGGAGACCTGAGCTCACCTAGCTCATAACTCTGGCTAACCCTTGGGGTTTTTGTTTATCACTCTTCGCTTGCCAGTTCAAGAAGTTCAATTTCAATTAATGTATGTAGCTCGAATAATGGAGTACCCAGAGAACACTTACCCATGGCTGAGACTTTTTCCTCCAGATTACTTTTCTCTGATTCGACGGCAGCTAGATCGTTCATCATGAGATCCGTACATAGCGATTCCAGCAGTACGTCAGTTTTTCGCGTCAACTGAAAACAATTGCCTTGCTATTTCGAGGGTAGCTTCCGCCACAATTCTCATATCCATAATGCTTACAAGTTTTTGACTACTATTTTACACAGCAACTGCACTATGGAACTGAAAATGCATCTCGGAGTTTTTTTTTTTGAGTGCATGCAGCAATTGCGTTTGAGAACTTTTGATCATCCATGAGCCGGACCAAATGTGCCGCTAGGCTTCA